AGTCCCGCCCCCGTGGTGTCAACAGGTGCCTGTGTGGCTGCAGACATTGTCTCACTGCATCTGGACACGACGATTCAAATGTAAAATTAATTGGTTTAAGTTACAGATACTGTATTGTGTAGGTAAACAGCTAGCGAGGGTCCGTCCGTGGACCGTGCTTGGCAGGAGAGGCAGTTAGCTACAATGCTAACGCAAAAAGTTCCTTTGCCAAACTTATAAAGTCTACATACCTCTGCTTTGGGCCCGTTTGTATTCTTCCTCCTTCCTTCGCTTTAGGAATGCTGATCCAGATGGCTTAGATGTTCTTTTCATCATAAAAAATACCAAAATTTTAAACGCGACGACAACAGGTTGTCCTTCTACAGCGCTACCCAACACGTGATCTACGGCACCCTTAACGGTCAAATGCATCGGAGCGGTGGCCCAAGCGGGAGCTCGTCATGCAGCCAGCTCATTAGAATTTAAATATTGATGTTTTAATTTCATGTCATTTCAGAGGGGCATTTTGAGTATGTAGAGAGCGCATTTCATGTAACAAACATAAATTTAATAAACTATTTATTTTTTAAATTTTTTTATTTTGCGCCCTATCCATGAGATGTCACCCCGGGCGGCCGCTTGTGTCGCCTGTCGGCAAAGCCGGCCCTGCTGGAGAGACAGAGGGAGTGAGGTGTGACAATAAAAAGTAAAGAGGTAGACACACGGGGAGCGCAAGAGAGACAAAAGGAGAGGAGAGGGAAAGAAAAGCACCATCTATATGCATACACTGCAGCCTATAACACAAGTAGCACTTCATTCCAGAGAGAGAAGCATCAATCTTGACAGCATATGGCATCTGTGCAAAATCCATTAATTTTTAATATACCAGGCACTGAAATGAGAAAGGCTTCCCGAGACAAGCAATTGTCAGACGTCAGTAGTGTTTTGATAACTTTTTTGATCTCCCTTTTTATTTGCATTCATAAAGCGAGGCCGTCCACATGACACCTCAGTTTGGACGTGGCTGGAGACTGACATGGAACCATTTTCCACACAATTGCTCCCACCTTCAGCCTGGAGAATAGGGAGCAGAGGAGGAAACGGGACGAGAAAAGGATGTATGGATGACAGGACGTGGATTGGCTGGTGCAGGAAATAAAACCTTACAGTTGTATGATGAACATGCTGAAGGCTGCTGATGCGGACGATCCTTTTCATGGATGGAATACAGGAAAAATGTTATCATCATGCTTTTTTTCTGAAATAAAAAACAAAAACAATAGAAACAATTCAACCAAAGATAAAAAATTGTATCAAAAACATAAAACAGCCATTCATCTCAGCTACTGTAGCCACACGTTCAGATTACAGGAGCTCTTCAAAATAAATTGTTGAAAAAGCTCCAGCGTGCTCCAACTTTGCGGTTCGAGTCTGTTTGAAGAAGAAAATGAGCTCTTCTCAACGAGAGCCAAGTGCAACGAGGTCAAACGGTCAGCGCAGCGAGCCGTGTCACACTCTGTAGCGAGCTCCACGGGAAGGTCCTCACCCCTCTTAATGCAAATACATGACTGCACTTTAAAAGAGAGATTTGATTTCCTCCACTTCCCACAGCTGACGGAAAGCTCGTCGGAGCCGTTTAAAGTCATGGAATCATCTCCTTCTATGGAGGCAGGATTGCAGGATATGTATTCGTGTTTGTAAAGTGGACAATTTAAAGCGAGTGGCCAGAGGAGACGAGTGGGAACCTGGAAGATGCTATAAGAGCTGCTCGGGAGGCAGGTGCAAAGTGGACTAATTAATAGCAATCTATATACTGGCCGGGGCACGCAGAGGGCCGGCTGAGACACTCAGGTCTGGCAATGAAAAGATAGCAGCTCCAAATTCATTTTCTCACCGTAGCTCTCCCGGCGGAAGGCTCAAACGTACACTCACACTTCCTTTAACGCATTCACTGGGGTGTGATTTATTCTTGCATTTGCCAGCGCATTTGGAAAGTTCATTACCTTCCTCACGGCTTGTTAATTAGCCTTGTGAAGCCGCCATTAGATCTCCTCAGGCCAGGACTGAGGTGAGACGTTTGTCCTAAAACATTACCGTAGTCCAAACAGCGTAACGACACGCGATGACCACTCAGCCTCCAACGCCGTCACTTCTGTGTGAACATGAAACGCATCCCGGTGAGCTCTCACATCACCTGACCTTCGGTGCTATTGACACACTTCAGGGTTTTCATAACCTCCTGCTCGTTTTATAGTCGCTTTGCCAGTGAATCTAGGAAATGACTCATCAGGGTTCCTCGAACCCCGGAGCTCCAGCAGGGGAGCGTTGGGCTCAGCTGGCGGGTTTAAGAAGTTGTGCAGCATGAGGCTGAACTGCAGGAACACGGGCCGACACCTCACGACAACACTGGCAAGTCCGAGCAGGCGGCAAAGTCTTATAGATCACGCAGGTGTTCATTTGTGTGGCCAAGCGGGCCGCAGGCACGCGTCTCATTTATACTTTACAGAAACAGAAGCCGACCTGCAGCAAAAGCATTAAAGAGGAAGCCCTGGACGCTTTATTTTTAGAACAGCTGCGTCTAATGGGGCCTGGCAGGTACAGGAGGTGTCACAGCTGTTCAGGCCCAGGTGAAGCTCCGGCCCTCTGCTCCTCCCCACTCCCCGCCCGCTCCCAACCAGTCAAATGACTCATAGCAAAGATCAACGGTGTCGTTTCTAATAAACTCTTCTTCCTCCTGCTGCCACCTTTACTCAGTCCTGGTGATAGGTTCTTGCTAGTAGCCATTTCATTCCACAACACAGAGGAAGTGGGGATGCATAATGTAAAAGATGTAAAGAAGATGAATGCTCTGGAAGACGCTCAGAAGAGTAATTAGAAAAACCCAACCAACTGACTGGTATGGAGAGCATACACGCGCATAAAGCCCCAGTCTGATGGTAAAAGAGGAGGCACTAATAATGAGTCTTGGTGTTTTACCTTAACGGTCAGATGTTTCGGACCCTGATGCAGCTGGAGAACTGGAGGTGGACTGATGCTAAACAGTAGCTTTCGGCCCCACTGAGGTCTTCATATTTGCAGCAAAACCATGTGCAAACATTCCTTTTCAAAGGTTCTTCACTGAGTAATGCTCCTACTTGCGTTAAAGGACCGGCATACAGAGTCATCTTTGGTGTGTTGAGTTTCAAATTCCATCTTTCGGTTCGTTTTAAACACAGGAAAGGTTTATTTACCTGCAACGTTTTGTTCGCGGCTGCAAACATCATCAGGCTGACGCCGATGGTGGCGTCACTTCCTTCGTTTATCCGCGGGCAGCAGAGGACGTTGTCGCCCCCTGCTGCCCGCTCTCCCCTCTGGACCCTCTGGTTAGATACCAGCTGGACTTAAATGAGGAGTCATTTACGAAATCCCATGCAAACTCTGCAATAAAACATCCGTAGGAGAAACCGGACGCCAGCTCAACACACGAACAATAGAACATAGAAAGGAGTACGAGAAAGAAACAAGTCGAAGACACACAAGAGCAGCAAACTAGGAAGAAAAAAGAGAGTCCCTCCACCGTGTCCTGGGTCTTCCTTTAGGTCTCATCCCAGTTGGACGTGCTCGGAAAACCTCACCAGGGCGGCGTCCAGGAGGCATCCTGGCCAGATGCCTGAGCCACCTCAACTGGCTCCTCTCGGTGTGGAAGAGCAGCAGATCTACTCTGAGCCCCTCCCGGATGACCGAGCTTCTCACCCTATCTCTAAGAGAGAGCCCAGCCACTCTTTGGAGAATCCTCATCGCTTGCATCTGCGATCTCATTCTGTAGATCACTACCCAAAGCTTGTGACCGTAGGCTAGGGCAGGAACGCGGATCGACCGGTAAATCGAGAACGTTACCTTCTGACTCAGCTCTCTCTTCACCACGACGCCGCAGATGCAGCACCAATCCGCTTATCGATCCCACGCTCCAGTTTTCCCTCACTCGTGAACAAGACCCCGAGATACTTACACTCCTCCACTAGAGGCAGGACCTCATCCCTGACCCGGAGAAGGCATGCTACCCTTTTCCAACTCAAGACCATGGTCTCAGATTTAGAGGAGCTGATTCTCATCCCAGCTGCTTCACACTCGGCTGCGAACCGCTCCAGCGAGAGCTGGAGATCACGTTCTGATGAAGCCAACAGGACCGCATCATCTGTACATTTCAATTCCTTTATTGTGACACAGAAATACGTGATTTTACATTTAAAGTGCTTCAGTATTTTATACCTTATATGCTATTTTCACATACAGTAAAATAATAGGATGAATAATAATCCCTTCACCCGGTAAATGTGTTTGGATTTAAGGAGCGTATCTCTTAAACGGACCGTTAAACCTAACAACTTCTAGTTTTTGAATATTTTTCATGAAAACATTTTGACTTTTGCATCTGAATGAAAGACTTTTTCTGCTAATTGAAGCATTTGTCAGCAGACTTTATTCCACAGTCACACGCTGCAGCAGAAGGATTGTCTTAAACCTCGTCTTTACTGTGAGCATTAAAAAATCAGCGATAAAGACTGAAGAGGAAGCTGTGTGTGCGGACTGAAACTCTCACTGGGGCTTTTAGTTTTATATTCAAAAGTGTGAGGAGACTAAAAGCCCTGTGGATAATGTTCACTGTTCACCTTTTACAAGGCGTGTGCTCTTGTTTACCAGAACAGCTATTTTGGTTCTGGAGAAAAAAATCAACCGGTACACGTTTTTCCTTGTTTCCTCTCAGACTATCAAACAGCTCGTCTTACCAGAGCAGAACATTCCTTCTCGCTCCACCTGGAACCTGCAGCGCCCCTAACTTTATCTGTATCACTGTGGAAGACGTGAATAGATGCAGAAACACGCCGTCCTCGTAGCACAGTGGGTGGGGGTGTGTGGGTGGAGGTGGGGGTGAGGGGAACACCACACAACAGGAAGATCAACAGCAGCAGCAGATAAAAACAGCTCTGCAGAATGGTAGCATCAGCTTCAGCGTTTGTCTCTTCTTCTCTCTCCTACTCCAGAAGATAGGAAGCTGTTTGTGGGGATGCTCGGCAAGCAGCAGAGCGAGGACGATGTCCGGCGGCTGTTCGAGACCTTCGGCCAGATTGAGGAGTGCACCGTCCTTCGAGGGCCTGATGGGGCCAGTAAGGGTCAGAGCCCACACACCTCCCACTCCTTCACCCTCCGCCCGTCCCTCTCAACCCTCATCCTTCTGACTCTCTCTGTTTTTAAAGCTTTGCTCCTGCTTGTGTTGCACTCGTCAACGCTGCCTGTGATGCTCTCTGCTCTGAATAATCCCTCCTCCCCTCAGCTTTCCTCCACTGCCTTTAATGTTTCTCACTTATTTTTCTGTCATACCTCATCGTCACCACACTCCGACACCTTCTTCCTCCCACTTTACCTTTTCATCCCTGTACTTTTTGTATTGTTTCTTTTCTTTGTTGTCGCTTCTTTCTGCTTTCAGTGTTTCCTTCCTGATCTTCCTCTTGCGTTGACTCTCCAGAACGGTGGCTCCGCTCACTCCGGGCTTGTGCAACACCTCATCTTTCCATTGTGCATTCCCTTTCTCCTCTTCCTGTTGCCTGAAAACTGGAAAGGTGTAATCATGTTTGTTTCCCGCATCCCCATCGTCTCTCCCCAGAGACTCCACTGGACAATATTGCTCCACTGTAAATAAAGCAGCTGTCACTCCCTGAATGGGGACTTTGCTCCCATCCAGCAGCATCTTCTGCGTTCTTCTCCGTGACTTCTGTGCTTTTTATTTGGGCACATGGAGCACGGTCCTCTTGAAGATGGTTTGATCACAGGTGATGCGGGTCTGTTGGAGTGACATTTCCAGGTGACGCTTGTCTGAGTTTAGCTCTGAGCCACATTTAGGGTGATGGTTTTCTTTGGGACTGCTCCTGTTTCTCCCTGCGGTTCGTTGGCTGGTGTTTAGAAAGCCTCTGAACATGCAGGACGACAGGAGAGAATAACACGCAACGCCGCAAATCCGTGTAAGTGCATCAAAGAGAACATCTGGTTACACCAAACCACAACACCTATCCGTGTCTGCATCTGTTCCTCTCACTGTTAATCCTGGTCTATTGCTCTGCATCGCCCCTCCGGCCCATCGCCTTTATTTCCACTCTTCCTGTCTGTCTTTTCCTTCTTCGCTACCTCTCTTCCTGTCTGCACAGATGCCTCGAGCTGACTGACAGCACATAAAACCAAATAAAGCCCATGTTGCCGTGTCAGACAGAAGCCAGTTTCCCTCCTTGTGTGAGCTTTTGCTCCTTTCTCACCCTCCCACCTCGCCTCCCTCCGCCTCCCCATCACACGCCGTACGTTCTCTGCTTTGCCGACTGTCTTAAAATGAAGAAAAAAAAACCCATAATGTTAACTGTGAACGCCACCACCAGGAAAAAGTTTCATACCTAGGTATCTGCTTCTATCGATCCCTGCGCAACAGTTCCACGCGATCATTGCGGGATGTTACGGCAAATTATTTAGCCAGCCGCCTGGCTCGGGATGAGGTTCCCATAATTTGAATGAGACAGACCTTGAAATTGACAGCGCTGTCTGTTCCATGGCTGAGGCTTTGTCCCTGTTGATGTAAATTGATGCCACTCAGAGGCTTTTCAGCGCCCCTCTTCACCCAGTAGAAAAAGGCCGAGAAGTCGAACATCCATCTCTCTGTGGTGCCGCTCCTCAAAGTACTTTCAAAGTGCAACACTTGCTGCCAGAGCTGAATGGAGCCCTCAATTGTCAGCAATAATAGAGAGATGGCTTTTAGGTCTATAATTAAGTTGTGTTATAAATGTCGCCCATCCAGAGGGATGGAATTCATACATACACATTATTACCCCGGGAATTCAAAAGGCAGCGCAGATCTCAGTTGAAAGCAGTACAATCTCGTTTTTTCTTCTTCCTCCAAACTCGTTTGAAGCCGTCAAACTCAAAAACCTAAATGTGCTCTATAATTTATGAGGGTGCCGCACTTTGAGTCATTCCTAAAGCGCTGTGCTCTTTGTACTTTAAGTGTATTTATGTTATTCTGTACATCAGAAATGGCTGCAGCTCTGTTTGTCTGTTAGCATAAATATCTGTTTGTGATGTGAACCGGCGGGTCTGAGGGCTTGTGCAGGCCGTGCTGCTGCACCAGCGGCTCAAGGTGCATTTGCCTGGTGGAGGAACCCCACCGTCAGCTTCTCGCCTTAAATAATTGCTCTTTTGTTAAATCAAATAGCCCTTTTATTACAGTTGCCACAAAGGTTAAATGCGTTTGCTGGGGAAAGCCCTCAAAGACAGAGCTGCATCAAACAATACGCAGTAGGTTGATGCATTCCAGTTGGACAAACGGAGACCTTTCCTCCTGTTCCCCGAGGGGCGATCATGTGAAGTAAAAGAGTGCCGGAGCGCTGTGACAGAATCAAAGGCTCCTCTGGCTCGTCTGCTCGCCTCTGCAGATCTCTGCAGCTTTAAGGGCAGAGAGAACACACGGCCTTCACCGCTCACTTCCACACGCAGTCGTTTAAAACACTCACCGTTCACTCGATGCAGCGCCTTGAATTAAAGTATAAATAGTCTCCCACTAAATGCCCACATGCTGCACCTCCTTCTCATGAGTCGTTTTGATTTTGTCATAAAATGAATAATTGACTTGTTCAGAGGGTAAAGCTGACTCCTGAGATGCAGGATGAGCTGCCGCCAGACAACCAGCGGCTCCTGAGCCGACCCATTACTGTCTGGCGTTTGGATAAATCGTCTCAACGCCTTTAGTCACACAGAGAAACAGGTTAGAGATGTGTGATCATTTTAAACGGGTGCAGGAATTTAAACCATCTGAAAGTCCAAGAATCAGCCGCCGCTGCTGTTCAGGTAAAGGACGCGGGCAGAATTAATCCTGACGTTTCTTAATGAGACATCGCTGAACCGACGGGCGACCTGAAGGCAAGGATAAGAATAGGACATAACAGGATTCATGCTGCTGTCTGTGACAGCCACAAAGTTCACAGGAATAGCTCCTTGTTTCATTTAATGGCTTTTGGAAAATGATCAGATTTCATTTTTTACTGCATTTCAAGCCACCAATGCTCTCTTTACGATGGTCCTATGTTAGTTTAGAGCCTGCACCTACTTATGCACGGGAGCGATGTTTAATCACGTGGTCACAATATGCGTGCCTGTGATCTGGTACTGCACGCCGCTAATGTCCTCTGAACAGTTATTGGAATGTTGCTCAGGAATAATTCAGCCCGCTTCTCTTGCCATGTGGCCGACACGTCTGCGGATGTTTCCTCTCGGTGCTGCAACAAACCAACAAATATAACATCTCTGTATATACCAGGGGTGCCCAATCCTGGTCCTGGAGGGCCGGTATCCACCACGTTTTAGTGGTTTCTCTGCTCCAGCATACTTGATTCAGTGGTTGAATCACCTGTGCAGCAGCTCACCAGGCTCTGCAGAAGCCTGTTAATCACCTGCTGATTGAAATCAGGTGTGTTGAAACAGAGTAAAACCAAAATATGCTGAACACCGGCGCTCCAGGACCAGGATTGGGCACCCCTGGTATATATAGTGCTCAGCTTAAACGAGGACACCCCTCTACATTTGTCAGATAACCTTTAGTTTCCTTTCAGAGTCAACGTTTTCTATGAGGTATACTACAAAATACTCCCACTAATGTGGGCCATTGATTGCAAACAAACTTTGCTCATTTTCACTCACAAAAAAGTGACTTTTCTAACTAATCCATTCAAGCCCATGCTGCAAAATGAGTACACCGTACAGCCAGATGACTGTAAAAGTGCCATACCTAGGAAAATCACTTTTTTGTGAGTGAAAATGAACAAAGTTTGTTTGCAATCAATGGCCCACATTAGTGGGAGTATTTTGTAGTATACCTCATAGAAAATGTTGACTGAAATTAGCAGATTAGCATTAGCTTCTGATAGGAAACAGACGGTGAAACTCTAGGATTAGAAAATCCTGACAGATCTGCGTCACACTGTCGCTAACATTCATGGACTCACCCATCTGGACTCACGGCGGGGAAGGCTGTTGTTGGTTTAGCGTCCAGGAAACAGCAGAGAATGTCACAGCTAGTAGAAGGTAAACGTTAGCATTAGCAACTCCAGCCGCTAGCTCTGAAGAAGACTGCAGAAGTGGTCAAAACTGTAGGTAATAGTTTTAGTTGTGGGGTGTATTATTTTATGAGTCAACCAGTTTTTTTAACAATTCAATTCAATTCAATTCAAAAATACTTTATTAATCCCAGAGGGAAATTGATTGCTGTAGTAGCTCAGAATAATAATAATAATCAAGTCATCAAAGAGTTGTTGTATATTACAATGGCTGTTGGCAGGAAGGATCTCCAGTAGCGGTCAGTGTTGCAGCCAAACTGAAGAAGCCTCTGACTGAAGACACTCTTCCGTTGTCGGACAGTCTTGTGAAGAGAATGCTCAGGGTTGTCCATCATTTTCTTGATTCTCTGGAGAATCCTTCTTTGCATTACCTCCTCCAGCGGTTCCGAAACTGCCAAAACTCTGGCTGAGTCCTCGAAAGGGCTTGGAGTTCCTCCATCTTGTTGGCCAGTGATCTCACATTGCCCATTACGATCGATGGAAGAGATGGTTTGAATTTCCTCTTTATCTGTCTCCGTTTTGCTCCCGCTCTGCACCCACGCTTCTTGCATTTTAGCTCATCTGGGATTTGTGGCTTCAGTTGAGGTATTATTTCAGCCTTTCCGATGTTAATCAGCTGCTCCCGATTGTAAGCCAGATGGTTGCCATGGTTACACATCATAACAAATGCTCAAAAAGTGAGAAAAGCTAAAAAATAGCAGTAAAAATCCTCCAATTTTCACAGCACCAGAAACAGAGAAGTAAAATGTACCAAAAAATACCGTTTCCTTGAGAAACTAGAAGAAAAAATACCCAAGAAAAGGTAAAACTTACATATAGTCAACAGAGCTACTCCAACATGCAGCCGCCCAGAGCAGCGCAGTTCCAGAAGAAAGCTGAACATGAAAATGGGGGTGGGGTGGGGGGGGGTGTTAGGAAAATCACATTTTTGTGAGTGAAAATGAACAAAGCTTGTTTGCAATTGATGGCCCACGTTAGTGGGAGTGTTTTGTAGTATAGCAGATTAGTATTAGCAGATTAGCGTTAGCTTCTGATAGGAAACAGACGGTGAAACTCTAGGATTAGAAAATCCTGACAGATTTACGTCACCCTGTCACTAACATTCATGGACTCACACATCTGGACTCACGGCGGGGAAGGCTGTTGTTGGTTTAGCGTCCAGGAAACAGCAGAGAACGTCACAGCTAGTAGGAGCTAACCGTTAGCGTTAGCAACTCCACTACACAGCTAGCCGCTAGCTCTGAAGAAGACCACAGAAGTGGTCAAAACTGTAGGTAATAGTTTTAGTTGTGGGGTGTATTATTTTATGATTCAACCTGTTTTTTTAACAATTCAATTCAATTCATTTCAAAAATACTTTATTAATCCCAGAGGGAAATTGATTACTGTAGTAGCTCAGAATAATAATAATAATCAAGTCATCAAAGATTTGTTGTATATTACAATGGCTGTTGGCAGGAAGGATCTCCAGTAGCGGTCAGTGTTGCAGCCAAACTGAAGAAGCCTCTGACTGAAGACACTCTTCCGTTGTCGGACAGTCTTGTGAAGAGAATGCTCAGGGTTGTCCATCATTTTCTTGATTCTCTGGGGGATCCTTCTTTGCATTATCTCCTCCAGCAGTTCCAAAACTGCCAAAACTCTGGCTGAGTCCTCGAAAGGACTTGGAGTTCCTCCATCTTGTTGGCCAGTGATCTCACATTGCCCATTACGATCGATGGAAGAGATGGTTTGAATTTCCTCTTTATCTGTCTCCGTTTTGCTCCCGCTCTGCACCCACGCTTCTTGCGTTTTAGCTCATCTGGGATTTGTGGCTTCAGCTGAGGTATTATTTCAGCCTTTCCGATGTTAATCAGCTGCTCCCGATTGTAAGCCAGACGGTTACCATGGTTACACATCATAACAAATGCTCAAAAAGTGAGAAAAGCTAAAAAATAGCAGTAAAAATCCTCCAATTTTCACAGCACCAGAAACAGAAAAGTAAAATGTCCCAAAAATACTGTTTCCTTGAGAAACTAGAAGAAAAAATACCCAAGAAAAGGTAAAACTTACATATAGTCAACAGAGCTACTCCAACATGCAGCCGCACAGAGCAGCGCAGTTCCAGAAGAAAGCTGAACATGAAAATGGGGGTGGGGTGGGGGGGTGTTAGCAAAATCACATTTTTGTGAGTGAAAATGAACAAAGCTTGTTTGCAATTGATGGCCCACGTTAGTGGGAGTGTTTTGTAGTATAGCAGATTAGTATTAGCAGATTAGCGTTAGCTTCTGATAGGAAGACGGTGAAACTCTAGGATTAGAAAATCCTGACAGATTTACGTCACCCTGTCACTAACATTCATGGACTCACACATCTGGACTCACGGCGGGGAAGGCTGTTGTTGGTTTAGCGTCCAGGAAACAGCAGAGAACGTCACAGCTAGTAGGAGCTAACCGTTAGCATTAGCAACTCCACTACACAGCTAGCCGCTAGCTCTGAAGAAGACCGCAGAAGTGGTCAAAACTGTCAGCTAAAAAAATAAAAGGTAAAACAACCTTTCCTGTGTTAAAATAAGAATCTAACAATGCAACTATAGGTAATGGTTTTAGTTGTGGGGTGTATTTTTTTTTATTCAACCAGTTTTTTTTTAATATTATTAACCTTAATTTCATGTTATGGATTTAAGTGTTTAATAAAACCCAGCCTTGTGGAACTAGCTCTTTTGTTCACTGAGCTGCTGATTCAATTCATATCTTTTAAAGAGCAAGTAACGTCTAAATTAACTTTTTTTTGCTGATGAACTGTATAAATGAGTGTCTAATAGTGTTTTAAATGTGTGCATTCTTTATTTTAGCATTTTGGTGCATTTTCTTTAAAAATTAAAAATTCTGTCTAAAAACCACAGTAATGCGCCACCTTCAGCTGAAAACATAGAATTTGAGTCATTTTGAATAAATTTTAGCCAATGGCTAAAGAGTAAAGTACTACGTAAACCAGTAGAGTACTACGTAGCAGCTCCGTGCCAAAGTTATAAAAGCAACGAGCGTCTCGGCCACGCCCTGTGGCGAGTGGGAGTTGGATTTGCAAGCGAGTGTAGGAGGTCAGCGGTAGTTCAGCATTAGCATATAGCATTAGCATATCCTAGTCTTTAGCATATCTTTTAGTGTTATAAATACTTATTTAGTGTTAGCTTGGCTGTTGTATATTGTAGTTTAGTTAGTGTTTGGCTGTTAGTGTAATTGGGAAAGTATTTCGGGTTTAGTGTTCCATATCGTCTTAGTATTGGTGAGTAGGTGTAGTGTAGTATGGTTGCGGTGACTCTGTGGGCATTTTACCCGCGATTCTGCACGCCTCCGTTTGAAGAGGGAGGCTGCCCACCGTGGCTCTTCCGCGATTTAGATGCAGGATGTGTACTCATGTACGCTGAGCGCTGTAAGCACATGCAAACATGTTTTACTGAATGCAGATGGATCAAAATGAGTCTAATTTAAAGATGATAAAAATGAAACGGGTTACAGCAGAAAGTGCTTTGAGTCCACACAGCAGAGTCTCTGATGTTCTCCTCTTTCTCCACAGGCTGTGCTTTTGTGAAGTTCTCCAGCCACGCAGAAGCTCAAGCCGCCATCAACAGCTTGCACGGTGGACAAACTATGCCTGTAAGTTTCACATGGCTGCATCATAACCCGTAAGACCAGTTAGAGGTTCAAAAGGTGCACACTCGTTGGTAGTTGTCCAGTAATCAGAAGGTTGCAGGTTCAGTCCCGGCTCCCGTCAGAGAATGCTGCTGTTGTGTCCTTGGGCAAGACACGTAACCCTCTTTGCCTGCTGGTGGCGGTCGGAGGGACCGGTGGCGCCTCACCACAGTCAGTGTGCCCCAGGGCAGCTGTGGCTACACTGTAGTGTGTACACGATGTGTGTGAAAGGGTGAATGAGTGATTGTGCTGTGAAGTGCCTTGGGGGGCTGTAGAACCCTAAAAGGCGCTATACAAATAAAGGCCATTGACCGTTACTTTCACAGGGAGGCTGGATCTATGTTATTGACATCTAATACAGAGTTTTAGTTGTTCGGTGCCTCTGAAAATTCAGACATCACGGCTCAAATCTCACCCACGATGAGGGAAACACACACTTCACACACTTACACAGGTGAAACTGCTTTGTGATGTCAGACTTGTTTATGTTAAAAAACCTCCCAGAAGACTCTGAACACATAATAACTGAACGTCTGAAACAGTATGGAGTGATGCTGTTTTATTAGTGACGGCACATCTTAGTGATTACTCACAACTGAATCCCCAGCAGGTGGAAGCCATTTGTTTATTGAAGTAATAAGAGAATCAGCCCAGGGAGGGTGTTTAGCTCAACAGTTGCTCTTCTGTTTGTGTGTTTAAAGAAACAGCACGTCCACTGTGAGTCACACCTGGTGTTTAGGAGCCAAACAGGTATTTTGTGTGAAGCTTCATTTTAAAAAAGACAATGGTTGGTTAAAAGTTTGAGCGTGCAAGGGCTTTTGTTTCTTGCAAGAGTCAAGACCTACATTAGGTTACGTTAATGCTTTATAGTGTTTAGAGGACTAAGGAGTGATTTTTCTCCTTCAGAGCTACTATAAAAGTTGGCTCCATTGTTGATGACATGGTTAACATGGTTACAGATCCCGTTTAAGCCCCTTCACACTGAATTAAGACCCCGCTACGCTCTCCCTGACCCAGATGACCTATTAAAACCTAGCTGCATCATGACAAATCTGGAAAGTCCCCTTCAGTGTGAAGACAAGCAAACTTTCTTCGCTGTATTTATTTGGTGCTACTTTATGCATACCTGAGGAGCTTTCCTGTGCCTTCACCACCATATTTGTATTAAAAGTCTTCACACAATGATTCATCAGCATGCATCCTCAAACGCCTTAGGCCCAGCCAAGTGGGACGCTCTTAGATCGTGTCAGAGTGCAGCTTTGCACCAGACTGTCATGATGCAAAAGGCAGTGGGACCAAGGCATGAAGAAAGCCATTCTTCACAAACCTTCCAACATGGATTCAATTCAATTCAATTCAAAAATACTTTATTAATCCAAGAGGGAAAATGATTTGTCCAAAAAATACAGTTTTTCTTGAGAAACTAGAAGAAAAAATGTCCAAGAAAAGGCAAAACTTACATATACTGTAGTCAACAGAGCTACTCCAACATGCAGCCACTCAGAGCAGCGCAGTTCCGGAAGAAACCTAACGTCATGGACACACCACCCTAAAGCCTAGATCTGGCACTAATAAACCACCACACCCATGCTACGGAGGTTGTGAGCGTATGCCAAACCACAGTCATGGCTTTCTCGTGCCTAATACAAGCCTAAGATAGCAGGAAATTGTACATTTCGCCCTACTTTTATAGCACTGCAATGAGTCACAACATCCTTGTGAGGAAAAAGTCCAACTCTCAAACTCTGCATGCATGGGCTAGTCCACATTCACCTTCAAAAGATGTAGGTGGTCGTGTAAAATGTTCCATTTCCTAAGGCTGCCATGCTTTAAACTGCATCCACACTCACTTCCTAGAAGTTGGTGCATAAAAGCATCTACAGGACTGCATTTAGCCATGATAACACACACACACACACACACACACACACACACACACACACACACGCACACGCACGCACACACACACACACACACCAGTATAAATACACTTGTCACTTTGTCATGGCAGGTAATTAACCTGACAGCCTTTATGCTGTTTGGACGTAAACAACCCACGCAGCCTGTCTAACCATCATGGAAACAGCTAAATGTGTTTTCTGGAGAACTCTCGACTAAATCCGAGAATATTTCTGCTCCTCAGTAAAAGGAGGATTAAGCACAGCTGGATCTTTGTTAACTGGGACAGAGCAGGTGAGCGGGCTTCTCAACAGTCAACGGTACTTTTAGCTTCATGAGAAATATCTCATCACAGGTGAATTATTACTGGTGACAGCACGACCCCCGTCACGGGACTACTTTCTGTTAAAGAACATTAAACATTTAAAACACCTGAAAATACTTAAGAGGGGACGCTTCATTACTGAGACTGGAGGGGAGGTTAACAAGTAAGTCAATAATGTTGAAAAGCACCCTAGAGTTAGCATGGATCTTCAGAATGAGCTTGGATTAATGGGCTGCTCTGCTTCCTGATATTTTTAGCATTAGTTCTTTGTTGTGGGACTTCCATCATGTCAGCTTTCTAGTAACTTTGTTATGTGTGTTAATCAATGCCTGTTATCAATAGAAAACCAGTTATTCCTGCTAATAACATACAAACTAATTTAGCATGTTTGTGTTCTTTATTCATGACTATAATCATAACTGAAGTTCTATATGAATCAAACTGTTTATGTTCCAAACTTTTGAGACGCCCTGTTTCGGCCGAATGTCTGCACAGCGGTTTGGGAAGGAGGTCGTTTGATTGTGAGTTGATGCCGTTTAGAGAAAGCGGCTTTTAGGATGCAACTCTGTGCTGGTAATCCACATCCAGCACCTCTGGTGCACCCGGACGTCCACGTCCAGAGGAATCCCTCACTATCTTTATGCCAAAATAACCGTAAACGATGGGGGTGCAAACATGTATTCACACGAACCAACATGAGGATTTTGAGATATCGTAGGCGCTCTAAAACCTCATCACCCCGTTCTGGAGATGATCCCGCTTTTCAGTTTGTCATGAAGCTAACTCCAAAGCTCTTCCTGCAGATCCAACCACCTGGATTTCATGCAAACATTGTTTGCACAAACATCACAAACAAGCTGTGTGAGGTTTGGAATAGCACCAGAAAATATATTTTGACAAATGAAACTAGGTATTGCCGATGGGAGCTGTTAACAGATGACACACTTGAACCACGTTTCTGCTCACACATACTAGCCACCGTTCTGGAAACGCTGGTCCGCTCTGCAAGGGCCGTAAACTTTAGACATGCCTGCTCTGTCTAGAGGTCAGAACAGAGCAGCTAGGGTAGTTTTACACCGTCCTTTTCGTTCCAACGTGGACGAGACGCATCTCAAGCTGTCTTGGTAAACTATGGAGGCAAAACTAAAGTACAGCCTTCTGCTGTTAATGCAACAGGTCATGATTAACAACACACACTATTTTAAAGAAAGACCATTACTCAGTGGATATCGTCGTGAGCATAAAACACGGCAAGTAAGTAACAACATGGTCACAGTGCCAAGACCCAGAAGCTATTGTCTGTATAGAGGGCCTACTGAGTGGAATTCCCTCCCATGCGGTATCAGAGACATCCACAATCATAACATCTTCAAGAAGACCATAAAACAAATTTTATTGTTTTAAAAAATGTATTTTCGCTTGTTTTTATTTATTGTTGTTGGGTAAGTGGTCGGACATATCTTGCGGCCAGCAGTGGGCGGTTTTTGCAGCTATGAATTTTCATAGGTGTTTAAACGAAGTATGTTTGTTTTATTTACATGTACTGTTGATCGCGTTATTGTATTTTAATACCGTGGACCCCAGGAAGACTAGCGGCCGCTGCTGTGGAAGCTAAAGGGGATCCAAATAAACAATAAACAATGTCTGAAGCATCACTTTCAGATAGGATGCTAGTGATTTACTGCTTTAGACACAGAAACACTTCAAAATGACTGAAAATCCTATTAAGTGAAAGAAATGATTAGTCTAAGCATTTCTGTGCCTGTCGAGCACCACGCAGCCGGACACATGAGCTCCTTTTTTTGGCAGCCGTCCTCACTTTCTCACACTTCACTGATGCTTCGCAATAAATATTTACAGATGCTTCCAGGCAGCCAGATAGTGTCCTGGAAGCCAGATGTGCTGTCATTTACACATCTTTTTGATGCTGCCTGCCTTTGCATCATATTGAAGTAGTGAGAGAGACTTGTAAGTGGTGGAGTCAGCTGACTTTGTGTGTGCTTGCTGTGTACAGCAGCGCCCCACATGATTACGGCATGCAAAGCGGTGAACTATGAAGCAAAAATAAAAAAGTTGTGATGAGATTCTGGACAATTGTACCCAAATGTACGTGTATTTGAAAGATTAGGCTCTAATAGCTAGTTGACTCAATCAGTGGGATCTGTTTACATTTGTGGTTTTACACATACGCTGTGTTTGCAGAAGAGTTGTTGCACTGCGTGTTTCATGCCTTGTCTTGCAGTTCAGGCACAGGTCTGAGTCACCTAGGGTCTGCTTCTGATGTCCAGGGCAACATATGGAGGCTCAATTACACCTGAAGCAAGTCAAAAGACAGCCAAACGTTCATTAATAACCTACCTACAGTATGATGCACATGTCTTCCCTTCTGTCCTTACACCTGTTCCGCTCATCTCCCCAAAATCCAACATACTATCTTATTAATAGGCAAGGTGGCCATTAGTCTCCTGCAAAAGCTTTTGTCGCGCTGGGGAATGCAGTTAATTTGGATAATATAGGCGCCACATGTCGTCAACGACAGACAGGATTCAGAGAGCGGGCATCTCCACGGACGGCCCGGTGCCAGCTGTGAGGTCTGACTGAACGTTACACAGAAACGTGTCTTCCAGTCTGTCGTTCCTTCCATCTTAATGCTCTCTAAACAACACACACACACACACGCACACACACACAAACAAACGTACACACACACACACACACACATGCACGCACACACACACAC